CCGCCCCCCCCCCTCCCCTTCGCCGCCCAGGGCGCCCGCCTGACGCCCCGTCCTTGGCTTGCGCTTGCGCACTGCAGGGCACCGTCGCGAGGGACGCGCTGTCGATGTGCCTCTGTGGCTGCTGTGAGATCTGCCGCATGGCGCGGGAGGTGCGCACTCGTTCCCTGTCTTAAAGAGCGGAGGGCAGCACAAGGTGGGTCCCGATCGTGAGGCGGAGGCCCCTCTCAGGCATGGGGGCCCCTCACCTCGGGCACCGGCTCCAGGCGTGGGGGGCGGGGCGGGCCCGACTCCGGCTTAGGGGAGCCGGGAAAGAGCGCTGCTCTTCTCGACCCTCGTAGGACTGAGAAGGGGCAGGAGGCCACCAGGGCGCGCGTGGGAGGTTGACGGGCCTCCGTGAGACGACCCTCGATGGAGCCTCCAGCTTCAGGGGCAGCGACGGAGCGAGGCTTCCACCGTTCCGCGCGGCGGCGGGAGGGGCAAGGCGGGCTCCACCCGCTTCTGGGCGATTGGCTTTCACCAACTCCTCCCCTCCCTTCCCCCTCGCTGTCTCAGACTCGCCGGCAAGCGCAGGAGCGCATGCGCCCACGAGAACGCGCCTCGGGGAATCGTACGCTGTCTCGGTGCCGCGCGAGGGCCGGGTCCTCCCTCGACCGGAAGCTGCCTCCCTCGCGGTTGCCTTGGCGACGACGCGGCGCCTCTCGCCGCCTCAGCAGCGCCGGCCGAGCGTCCTTCGGCCTGCTCGCCATGTCGTTGCGGACGCTGCCGCTGCTCGTCCTCAACCTGGGCGGAGAGATGCTCTACATCGTGGACCAGCGGCTGCGCGCGCAGAGCATCCCGGGAGACAAGGCGCGCCAAGGTCAGGGGGCCGCCGGGAGGGGGAGACGAGGCCGCCGGAGGAGGGCCCGGGAGTGCAGGCCCCATCGTCCCCAGCGGTGGAGCCTGTAGTCCCGCCCAGCCGCAGCGCCTCGGGGAGCGGGCCGGAGGGCCAGCGGTGGGTGCTGCCGTTCTCCCTGACTGGATCTCCGGAGCCGCCCCGGTGATTTTCCAGAGCAAAGCTTTTTCTGCTATCCACCCAACCATGATTTATTTACAATAATAAAGTGTGCAGCTGAAAGTGGAAAATGAACCGTATTTGTTCTTCAGGGATGATGAAACCTACTAAGCAGAGAGTGCTGTACAGTAGTCTACACTTAAAGCTCTGTTTCTTGCAAGCCAGCAGTTCTGGACCAGGTTGGAATCAGCAGCAGAGGAAAGTGCAGGGAGAATCCCCTCGGGGGAGACCTGGATGCTCGCCCGAGGTGAATTGCCCTGCTTTCCCTGCCAAGGCAGGATGCTCTCAGCCTTGGAGCTGCCCTCCTCTGGCAGCCACACCCCTCCATGGGCTGAGGATGCTCTTGCTTCCTAGGCTCCTGGAGAATGGCTGCTTCGCCTCTGAGACCAGAATGTCCGGGGTTCACTTTAAGAGGTATTACTCCTCGTGCGAGTGTGGAGGCAAAATAGAGAAACAAAACACTAAGATGAGAGTAAGCCAATTCAAATGCAAGTGGACGTGTCTAGAAGAAAGACATTCACACACCAGGTTCAAATTCAGGGTTCCTGGATCCAAACATACTTGAGTTTATTTATTTACTGCTGGGCAAATTGTTGTTTCTTTATATCTCTAGGTGCTCTGAGAACAAAATAGGTTAACTCCATGGGAAGTGGAGAGGCTGAAAAGTAATATTTATAAAGTAATATTTTTGCTGGTTTGACCAGGTTCTGCTTCATTTTTCTAGCTCTGCAGGTGAAATCAAATAATCTGGTTCTGTAGATTTTGCTTGTTGAGAAACATGGAATTGCTCTAGAACAATACAGTAGCCCATCCATGTGGATCTGAGAATGTCTCAGCATAGCTTTGTTCCCTGTGAATGAAAGTATTTTGTTTGTGGTGAGACCCTATAAAAGTCGAGCTGCTGTTGAGCTGTTCCTTCATTTTCAAGAACTTTTAATGCTGGGAAAACGCAGTTCTTCTGCAGAGTGTGAAATGGGCTTGAAAAGTGACACAATCCCATTTTATAACACTTACATCACTGCCACTTTAAATATCCTTGAGAGCTATCTTCTGCTGTACAACAAATTAAGTGGCAGTGTAAAATATGTACATCCCTTTTTCAGTTCTTTTCTCTTTTCCGCCTTGTTCTCAGTGTGTTCTTAGTACTTGACCCGTCATTTTTTCTGTTTTATGCTTCATGTAGATGAATGGACTGATGTGGACAGGAGACGAGGTACTGTAACATTTTTAGCCCCTGCATAAGGCCTGCACTGAGATTCCAAATAATGTATATGCAGTATGTTGAGGGATGCTGCCAGAAAGTCCCTTCAGAGCAGTAACTCTGAATCACAAAAATTTGTGGAGTTCAGGTGATGGAGTATATGGTCTGTTTTATGCATTACAAGCCAAATCCAAGAACAAATTCTTGGAATCATTGTTGAACAGTTTGGGGAATTCTTTAATTCAAATAACACACCCTGAGGTAAGGTATTGATCAATTGACAGATTAAATTTTGTCACTAGGCAAGACAAATTGACCTATTGTCAAACATCCTAAAAATGCTACTGTGCTGATACTGGCTTGGCTTTTTAATCTATTCCATGTCTGATAATGCAGATCATCCAGGAATACTTATATCATATTCTGTGCATTAATTATTGACTTCCTACAAGATTTTGTTTTCCTGCAGTAGATGGCTCCTGTCCCTTTGGAAATTATTTCATGGCACTAATTATTATGGTGCCATGTATCAGCAAGGGAACATGTGAAGGACTGCTTGCTCCTAGGAGGAGTAATGGTTCCAAATAAACATAACAACAAAAGTGGCTACTTTTCATAATAGGTTTCAAAAGTAATAGGATGAAAAAGCATGCAGCTTTCTTCAATCCGGAGGCCAGCAGGTGCATAAAGTGCAACTCCTACCCCTACAACATGGCAAAAGACTGGAGATGGTGTCAGTTATAGTCAAACATGCCTGGAAAATCCAGTGTAGGGGAAATGTCAGATGAGAGTTGTGAGGCTAAGTTCAAATCTTCATGCAGCTATGGAGTTCATTGGGTCACATTTTGTCAGAATCCTCGCAATCAGTCACTTGCACTGCTAGTTCACTTGCTTCGTTTCTGCCATTACGTGAAGGGAGGGAAGGTTGGAAGGTTAACCGTTAGGCGCAGATGGACTATTATCTGGCTCTCAGGAATGCCCAAGGCCGTACCAACGTGGGAATCGGAGAACATCTTCAACATGCGCAAGAGAGATTCAAAGACAGATGGGGGGGGAGGAATGGGAGTGGGGTAAAACTAAGTTTTGGCACACGCAGGACTCAGCTCCAGCTATACTTCTAGAGCCATGCACTACTTTCCAATAAATGAACTTTCCTTTGAACCTGCATTGGCTTCAATGAGAGTTGCTTTCACTGGGAACGGAGTACCGTGGTTCTTGCATATTTTTCCAGGATAAAGTTGGATGGTGGTAGTATGAGTTCATGCCTAAACTTCCAGGAAAAGGCATGAAAATTCCAGGGATGAAAATATATCTTAAATTAGCCATTAAAAAAAAGAAACTACTGCCATTATTCTCACAGTAGCACCTAATTTCCTTTTTGCAATAAACATTCTATTATCTATTGATGACTTGCACTCATGGTAATGTTTTATAAATGTCTACACATTATTTGACAATACTTGATCAAGGTTAAATTTAATCAAATCTTTTTTAGCCAGTGAGATTTCCTGCTCTAATTTGACTTCTGACTGACAGAAATAAGATGGCATTTGGAATTCCAAGATCTTGTTTTGTTTTATTTATTTGCTTTAATGTGTAGAAATAAATAAAAATATATAAAAAATACAGAAAATACAGAAAAAAGAAAACAGCTCACTTTTTAAACACAGCATTAAATATTAACCACACAGAGTAGTATTGATCAGTCTATCATTTTACTCTTTCAACACAGTAAAGTTGGCAATTAATCCCTTTCAAACATTCTCTGAGGTGTCCAATAAATATGAAAAAATATTTTGTTAAATTAATCTTATTTTACAATCATAAGATCACTTTGTACTCTTTAAGACCATTAATCATTGATCTGTTAATATCTTTTTTTCCAAAGTTTGTTAATATTTGTCTTAACAGTGCTCTTTTGTCTATAAAAATAGGGCTTGTAGCAGTACAGTACTGTGAACAAACCACACCACATATTATCAAAACATTCATTTATTAAAAGCATTTTTATACCACTGATATCACCAAACTCAGGAATCAGAGTACAAAACTAAAAAAGCTCACACAATGAAACATCATAACCTTGCTCAACAGATTTTACTCCCCACAAAACATAAAATACGTAAAAGAAGAAACAGCAGCAAGCCCAGTCACTGTTAAACTTCAAAGGTCTACATGGAGAAACTATTTTCAGCCTTGTACAATGTCAGTACTGGAGATAAGCCCCAAAGAATGAGGGTTGGCCACAGAGAAAGACTGCCTTCTCATCCATAGCCCCTTACTCCCAAGATGGTGAAACCCTGAACAGGCCCTTTCTAGATGACCAGACCTGAGAGTCAGAATAATACAGCAAAAGATATTTGATACAGCTTGTAACTGTACTATAAATGTCTTTATAAATAATAACCAGCAGTTTGAGTTGGACTTGGAATACTACAAATAACTAGAAGAAGTATAATCCTGCCCAACAAGTATACTTCAGGGCTTGTTAAGTTCATCTGCATCAGGATGTTCAATGTACTTAAAGTAACTTGCATGAAGGATTAGAACAGATGGGGAGCTAGCAAACACCTTAGAGGACAATGTCAAGATTCAGGAGAGTCTTGACAATCTGGAAGAATGGCCCAGACCAACAAGAAACATTTCAACAGGGACAAGTACTGTGGGCAGTTTTCCTACATTTGGGTAGGAAAACTGAAAGATATGAGTATAGAATGAGAGCTCCATATTGGACAGCAGTAAATAAAGAAAGATTCTGAGTGCGTTGGTGGATCACAAATTGAATGCAAGCCAAAAGCAAATGCAATCTTAGGCTGCATCAACAGAACTATAGTCTTAAGATCAAGAAAAGGCATTGTTCCTTTCTATTTTGCATTGGTCAGATTCCATCTGGAATATTGCAACCATTTCTCTGCATTGTATTTTAGGAAGGACATTGATAAACTGGAGTTTGTTCATGGGAGTGCAATCAAAATGGTAAAAGGCTTGCAAGGAAAATCTTATAAGGAATGGTTGGAGGTTTGGGATATGTGTTCAAGTGCCTGAAGGGCTATCATGTAGAAGATAGGGCGGAAGTATTCAAAGCTGTTCCATAAAACAGGACAAGAAACAATGAGTTTAAATGGCAAGGAAATCAATTTTGGATGGACATCAGGAAAAAAATGTAATGGTAAGAGCTGTTCAACAATGGAGTAGGTTTCCCTTGAGCAGTGTTTCTTAAAGTGTGGTCCTAGGACCCCTGGGGGTCCCCCAAGCCCTCTCAGGGGTTCACGAAATCAAAATTATTTGCAGCCTAGGTTGAAAAATAATGCAGTATTAACATCCCATCAAACAAACATGAGAAGCAGTAGCAGAAGCAAATGTGTCAATTTTAATTTTTAATACAGTAAATATTGATAAATATAACCCATACAAACAAAAGCTCTTTTGGGGTCCTCCATAATTTTTAAAAGTGGGGAGGGTTCTGAGAGAAAAAAGTTTTAAGAAACACTGCCTTAGAAGATGGTAGACTCTCCTTTGCTAGAGATGTTTACACAGACTGGATGGCCATCTGTCAGGGATACTGTTGTCGTGGACTTTTGCAGGGGCAGGTGAGGTGGACTAGATGATCTCCAAGCTCCCTTCCAAACCCTTCCCTTCTATGATTATGTACAATAGCAAGTCTTGCATGCCAGTAATCCAGTCACTGCGTTATGTACCATTATGTTCCTCCAAATTGTTTTCAAATGTAGCCCTGCGTAAAGCACACGGCCTCAAGGGCACTTTCCAACTCTAGAATTCTATGAAATACTCTGAGTGGCATGAATGATGTCTGACTGTTCATATGCAAAATATAGACAGATTTTGTCCAGTCTGT